GCGAGGCACAGAGCTGTCAAAGCCACTGTATCCCAAGGAGCAAGGGGAGCAAGAGGCGGGGCCTAGGCACCTCCACCCCTCCACCCGCGCAGCTGCTTCCCAGCACCTGTGCTCCTGGCCTTCCTCTGCAGGCTGCTGCCCCTTCCCTCTGGAAAGCTGGAAGTGCGGCTCCTTCCAGGACTGGCGCAGCCCGGGCAGGGAGGGGGCAGTGGTTTCCTCTTCTTCACTTTCATCCTCACGTGGCCACTTCACAGCCCCCCTGTCCCCTCTGGTCCCCTTCCTGGATTAGACCCAGAAAATTCAGTCCAGGAGCCCCAAAGGCCCCTGGAAGGCATTGTGATTTTCATTTTTCTTCCTTTAGGGTTTTTCACCCCAGTGGTGCCCTTGCAGGCCCAGCTTGATGGTGAAAGTGGAAACTGATGTAAACTTGAAAGGGCTCTGCACACGAGAGGGACTAATAATTTTTTGAGGTATGGGGATTGAACCCAGGGCCTTTCCCGTGCTGCACAAGTGCTCTACCACTAAGCTATAACCCCAGCCCTTCTTTACATGTTTATTCTGAGACTCCGTTGCCCAGGCTGGCCATGAACTTGTCATCCTCCTGCCTCAGCCTTCCAAATAGTTGTGATTACCCGGATGCACCACCACACACATTCTTTTGTTCTTAAATGCATATTTGAGTTTTGTAACTAATGCACCAGACTCATAAGTCTACTGATTCTTCCCTCTCTGCCCTGCTTTATAGGGCTTGAGAAACCTGACATTCTCGAGCCAAGAGAAAAAGTACCAGGAAGCCAAGGATGAAATGGCAGAACCCTGGCTGATCAGGTCCTCTTCCTCTCCTCTCCTTGCCCCATACCTCAGTTTCCTTACCCTTCCTGGGCCCTAACTAAGTCTTGGTGAAGAGAAGAGAGGCTGAGGAGGAAGGAGAATAGGAAATGCAGAGGAGCTGCAGCTCCTAATCCCTCTTGGGCCCCTTTTCCTGATTGAGGCAGCCACTGACCCAGGGCATTTCAATTAGCCGCTTGTCTTCTAACTAATTACATAGTCAAGGCCTCCGCAGGCTTACACAAGTGGACGTGTAGTAGACTCACACAGATGCATATATGTCCACACACACATTGTCCAGGGGTTGGCCATAGCCCTAAAGGTAGTATTTGTCCCTAGAAGTAGTGTTATTCTCTTTGGGATTTCTCTTATTCAAAACTTGACTCCACATTTCCACCTCTCTGTCCCTGGTCAACTCAGTCAAATTCTTCTCCCTCCTCTCCCAATTGTATGAGTGTTTTTATTTGAATAAATCAGGAGGAAAAGATTTGAAGTTCAAAACCTTCCCCCAAACTCTGTGATGTATAGCTATAAAAATAATGCTAAGAAACAGAAAGTGACCTTTATTTCTCGTCTATAGTCCTTGATGACTTCTGCCTTTTGTCTTCTCGAGAAAATAGATTTTTCCTGGTTTTAAAAAATAACACAGGTTGATGTAAAAATATTCAGACAATACAGAAAGCCTAAGGGTGTGAGCCAGAAGCTTCTGAAAGTTCACCAAGATAACTACTATTCACATCCCAGTGGATAGTCTTTCATACTTAACGCACATATATACACACACAGATTGTTTATATGAGAATGAGATAGTAATACGCATGTTCTTTTTTAACCTGCATTCTCTCTCAGCTGTATATTACGGACATCTTCAAATGGCAGCAGTGACTCCCACTGCATGGGCCACTTGGCACTCTCAGGCTCTGTGATTCATGTTTTACTCCTACTTCTCACAGCCTCTCAGAGGAGGGTGATTTGTTGGGTGGTTCTGGGGTGGGGGTGGGCCGAGAGTGGTGGTCTGCTTAGATCAGTGTGTAGAGATGCAGTGAGGCCCCATAAAGTGCAGAGTCTCCTTGGTTGAGCTTTCGCTGGCCTCAGTGGACAAGAAACAGGAAGCTTACAACATTCCTAGAGGAGATCTAACAGCCAAAAGGACAGGGTGATAGATTTGGCAGTAGGATTTGCATCTGGGGGACCTGCCAAATTGACCTCAGAGCAGGAAGCCATGCTGGGTGCTGACAGGGCTGCCTGCCCAGGAAAGATGAATTTAGGATCAGGGAGTTGGAGAAGCAGTGTGAAGAGATGCTTCCACTCGGGCTTGGGGTGACTTCAAGGAGAAGAGTCTCGGCTTTCTTCTTGGATTTATTTATACCCAGCCTCTTTCTGAAAAGGTGTTATAGTAGCTTTCAACAAAGGACATATGCAAAAAGGTCAGGCAGCCAGAAATAGAAAAGCGGGACCAGGGACAATTTCCATCTGAGGCAGAGGACTGCAGCTTGAGCCGCAACAGGAAAGGACCCTGCTTCTGCTCATCCCTAGGGACTAGCTGGGACAAAAACTGAACAATTCCTAAGGGGAAGATAAAGAGCAGGGGATCTGGCTGATGTGAATGAAAACAGCACCAGAAGCAAAAATTGGGATTTGTCTCCAGGTCCTTCCCCTCGTTTTATGAGCTACAGTGACTATGTCACCTTTCTGAGCCTCAGTTTCCCCATCTATAATATGGCAGTGCAGGACTGTCATATCTGAGTAGTTTCCATTGGGATTGTCTTTTAACAGGGACAACAGGAGGGTGCACATACCACAGCTGTAACCCTGAAGTAGTCACTAGAGGAGGGTGAAAGAGGAAAGATGCAAGGAAGTGTCTTTACGGTGTCTGCCAGCCCACTGCCCCTGCTAAGGTGCCCATGCATGAGCTCTCTATAAATGGCAGTCCCCAAGGAGCCATGTTTTCTACCCGTGAGCCCTTTCTCCAATGCAGCTGATTGGAGCAGGTGTGCCACCTGACTTGAGGGCAGCCAATCAACAGGTTGTCCAAAGGTGTGTGTATGGCTCGACATGAAATGGTGGGACCATCCAGTCAGCCCATTCCCTAGAAAGGCTGCATCACTGAATGCTGGCAGCTGCCACTAGAAGGTCATGAGCACTGGGAGTTGGAGCTGAGAGGTCATGATGCCTGGAAAGCTGAAGCTGTGAGAGAGCAGACATCCTGAGTCAGGAAAGGAACTGACTCAGTTCCTGGGTGGGCAAAAAGACACAGACGGTGGGGAGTCACCTATTGCTCTCATAACAAACTACCCTCAACCTGAGGGGCTTCAAAGAACAATTATTTCATCATATCCCATGACTTTGTGAGTCAGGAATCCACACAGACTGGGCAGAGCAAACCTTCTGTTCCGTGCAGCCTTAACAGAGGGACTCAGCTGACAGCTGGTCTGGTCTAGAACCTCCAAGACAGCTTCAGCCCCTTGCTTCTGGTGCTTTGGTGGGGAGGGCGGAGGGCTAGGTTCAGCTGGGATGGTCTCAAGGGAGTTGGACACACAGTAGCTCAGGGCTTCCAGGGGAATGTGTTATATTTTATTGTGGTTTCTTTTGAGGTAAATTTTCAAGGGCAAGATTCCTTTCCCCATAATTAGACTCTGCCTCTCTACAGGACAAGGGATTTATGGTCATCTTTATCTCAGGGGAGGAGCCATAAGCTTCTATAGCTGACGGTTCTAGAGCCACCTTGAGCCCAGAATACACATCTGATGGAGGAAAACCATCCCTGCTGCAACCTGTTTGGATTTCTGAGCATCTGTCCCATGCCCTTCATATATCCTCAGTACCCTTCCTGAGTTTTTTTGTTGTTTTTTTTTTGGTACCTAGGATTGAACTCAGGACTTTGCCCTTTTGAGGCAGGCGCGGTGCCACTGAGCTAAATCCCTGGCCCCCGTCCTGTTATTGAATGAGCTGTAGTGGGTTTCTTCTTGCATCCACTGAGCCAATCTACAGCAGTGATGAGTCCTAAACCCTTCAAAGAAAAATCTCAGGTATGGCAGCAAGAAGTCATCTATGATGAGAGCTGATAATGCTCGCAGGGTAGGGACCCCTAGTTTCGTCCCCTTTCTGAGCCTCTGTTTCCCCAAGCCTCTGAAACATGAAGAGGAAATCATCCACTCTGCCCATCTGAGTCACTGTAACCAAGTACAAGAAAGACTCTTTCCTGTCATTTGCCTGATCTCTTGTGACTTGCATTATGACAGCCACGCAGGCCCTTGACTTAGGTCACCCTGGAACACTCACAAGAGTCTGGATCCTGCTCTTCCCCCGCTGCCCACCTTGGCCTCAGGAAGCCCATTTCTCCTGAGGAAAGCACAGAGTAAAAGAAGGAGATAAATGGCCTTTAAGGACCTCCTAACTCTAAAATCCTAGATTTCTGAGAGGTCTGGGACAAAGGAAAATGCTGGCATCCAATGACTTTAGAGCAAGCGGGTAGCTGGCTGGTGGTGAATGAAAGAGGCAGCCAGTAGGGTATAGGGTGGACTTCTGGGGCCAAAACAGAGATTCTGGGGGCTGCAACTCTGGACACATAGGAGGGGCAGTGGGGTCGGGCACTGAGGAAGGAAAAGGGCATTTCAACCACTCACCCCCACCCATCCCTCCTTCTCTGTCCTCTTCCCTGAGCTTTCTAAGCTTTACTCCCCAAGCCTTCGGATATTCTGCTCCCTCTGCTTGGAAGGCTCCCTCTGCCCCAGGATGCCAACTCTCACCATTTTTAGGTCTCTCCGAAGTGTCTCTTTCAGAGCTCTCTCCGAAAACCCCAACCCAAATAAGCACCCTCTTCCTAGCACCAATTTTCTTTCACAGCCCTAATTAAATTCATAATTACGTGGTTCAGAGTGCAATTATTAGCTTAGTGTCTGTCTCTTCCAGTAAACAGGAAATTCCACGAAGGCAGCTATGTGCTTGGTATTTGGGGAATGAACAAATTAGTGAGGATGCCGAGCTCATGGGAAGCAGATGAGAACGCAGGTCCATGGTATCCAGACTACACTGCGGGATCCATGGTGACGGACGCTAAAGAGAAAGAGCTGTGGGAACTGAAAGGCCCCCCTCCAGCCCCTGCCCGGACCCCAGCCCGGTCTGCCGCCTCCCGCTCCTGCCGGCCCCCACAGACAGTCTGACTCTGCGCGCTGGAACACTGCAGCTTTATTGATTCAAACAACCGCGTCCGTAACTAGAGGTTACATTTGGGGGTCTGGGGGTGAGAGAGGGCCAAGTGGGGAACAGAGGCTGGGGTGGAGACAGAGAGCGAGGCAAAGGGGCGAGGACAGGGTCGTGTGACTAAAAAACAACCCCATCCATTCCACCCGTGAATAAGGGGTCTCCTTGTGCTTTTACCTTGATGCTGGGGTGAGCTGGGGCGGGGTGTCAGACATGTGGGCCTGGGCGTGAGGGCTTTTGGCTTTTCTCCCAAGTCTCTGAGGCCTCTGGGCTGGGGCAGTCCCCTCCTTCCCTGTCCCTTCTGGGTGGTGAGTGGGTCACCATGGGGCAGGAAGGATGCTTAGCACTGGAGCAGAGGGGCCAGCGGAGTCGGCTGAGACAGGGATGCCAGGGGCAGCTGGAGGAGGCCGGGAAGGTGCCAGCTGGGAGGGCATTCCCACCAGGCCCCTGGGCAGTGGGCGCAGGTGACATGAGGGGGTGGCGAGGGGGTAGGCAAACACCATCTCTCTGGATCCCAGCTGCCTCACCTGTACAATGGGGCACTGGATTAGATGTTCCCATCTAAGGTCCCTTCCAGCTCTGAGGGTCAAAGGATCCCCAGGAAAGAGTGGTCTTTCTGCACGCACACACGCACACACGCACACACGCACACACACGTGCACACACACACCCCACCGACACAAGATAGAAGAGGGCGCTTCCTGCCTTTGGAAGCAGGAAGGGGTCCCCTGAAATCAGAACTCTACTTCAACCAGTGGCCCTACAGGGTCTCTCCAGGGCTGGTTCACCCTCATGTTCCTGAGGACAGACAGACTCTGGGAAACCCGTCCCCAGGCACCTTGAGCTGTCCAGAGAGGAAAAATCAAAGATTCTGCATCCCTCACCTCCAGCCCTCCTGGTCCTTAGGGGGAAGTCAAGAGGATGAGGATGCAGAAGGATGCTGACTTCTGTCCCTACATCAGGCTCTTGTAAGGACAGGAGAGGGGACAGGAAATGGAGTCTTTTCTGTCTGGCATCCTGGGAGAGGCAGCAGCAGCTACAAGTGTGGACAGAGAGTGGGATGCTCCACGTGGCGCCCAGGCGGAGGCCAGAATTTGGGACAGTGCCTCTCCCAGTGCAGGAGCCCAGTGACATCCATGACAAGCCCAGTAACATCTGCAGCACCTGGAGCCTGGGTCCCCATAGCTATTGTGACAGGAGATCCCAGGAGCACTGGCCAGTGGTGCAACACCTTCAGGGCTATAGAACCTGGCTTCCAAGGCTGGCTAGATCCAAACTGGCTGTGTGACCTTGGGCCAGTCCCTGCCCCTCTCCCAATTTCAGCTTCTTTGCTTGCACCATGAAGAATTTGAACTTCTGAGGCCCCTCCTGGCTCTGACAGCCTGCACAGCAGCTTTGAGAGTGCAAGGGAAAGGAGAATGAAAGGGAAAGAGGTGCTGGGCCCATCCCAGAGGGCAAAGGTGGGGAGAGGGTCCCAGTCTTCAGGCTCACTTGGCAGCCCTGGGGGGAGCTCTGTGATCCTGGGGGCCGGTAAAGCCGAGGCTCCCCATCAGCTGCTGGTCTACCTGGTCCCAGGATCCCCTTTCTCCCCAAGACATCAACCTGGAGGGGAGAAGGGACGAGGGCCCCCTGCACCCTGAGGGCTGACCCCAGACTCTCTGTTTTAAGGCCACAGTATGCCTCAGTCACCCTGACCCAGAGGGTGAGGCTGCACTGGGAGAGGCACTGGATCCCTGGGGCTGGGGTGTGCACCGGCCACCTACCATGATGCTGACACACAGACACACAGCACACGTGACACTTCCACGGAGATGCAGACACGCGTCACCCAGGGATGCACAAAAACACCCATTCCTTGCAGCTTTGGCTCACAGACAGACTCACAGGGGTGGGCACACACCCCACACCCCACGCACACCAGCTGGTGCATGCAGACACAAACACAAGGACCGCAGCAGGCTGAGCACCCTCTGGGCAGGGCTGTCCTCACACCGAGAGGGTCCCTTCTCACCATGCAGACCAGGAACACGGGACCAACAAGCAGTTCCGCTCAGCCCATCTGTGCTGTGCATGCTTCCCGTGGTGTCAGGCTCTACAGATTCAGAGGTGAACAGGGACACAAGACCCCAAGAGGAAGCAGCCATCGTGGGGGACAAGTTTGAGGGCAATGGGTATGGGGTGCCACAGGAGCCCCAAAGAGCAAGCACTTGGGGCTGTTTCTCTGGTGCTCCATTCCTGGCCCCAGCAAGGGCCCAGAGGCCGCCCCCAAGGGAAGAGGCCAGTGTCTCCCCCCTGGTCTCCTGAGCAGCTTTTCAGCATTTCTGATGCCAGGCTGCACTCCAGCCCCGTTAAATCAGAACCTCTGGGCTGGGATCCAAGCATTGGTGCTTTCTAAAAGATCCTGTGGTAGTTGCCTTCTGCAGCCAGGGCTGAGGACCATTGCTTTATGGAATCCATTCCACCGGGCAAAAGCGGTGTAGTTTTCATACCAAGCTCTCTTGTGCCAGGCATGAGTGGGAGGAGGGGAGAGGGCTCAGGAAGATCGGAGGAGGAGCTCACAGTCTAGTTGGGGAAACAGACTCTGCACAGATGGGACAATTAAGGAACAATCAGTGGGGCTGCCATGGAAGGAAGCATGTGCTGGGAACCTGCAGCGACTCATTCAGACCTAGCCTTGGATGGGGCAGGAAGGCAGTCATGCTCGTCGGGTGTCGGGAGACCCTGCAGCAGCCTGGCCTGGCCACCCACCAGCTGTTGGCGATGATAACACAGGCCTAGCAGAGCAGGGAGCTGAACAGTTTCCCCGCCTGCCTCCTGGCACTTCAGGGCTGCCTGGGTTCCAGGCCTCTCTGCAGCTGTCCCCACCAATGCTCTGAAGGAGCCCAGGGACACCCCACCAAAGGCATTTGCATTCAGCAGCATCATCTATAAGCTTCTTGTCACCCACAGGGGATGAAAGGTAGGATTTCAGGCTGTGGAAGGCAGCTTGAGACTACAGAATAGGGCCGGAAGTGGTCTCCGTGGCCAATCCCCCACACACAGGCCACTGTGAAGGCGGACAAGCTTGCTGACACGCACACTCACAGAGATGGTACAGACCCAGACTCTCAGATACGCTCAACTGTGCACACAGACCTTTATTTACTCACACTCCCGCTCAGAGACGTGCCCTCGATGGTATGCAGACAGACGGGCACCCACACGCACGCACGCACAGTCTCATAACAGAGGGACGGGGGCTCTGCTGTGGACGCCAGGTGGCTGCTGAGGGCTGACACTGAGGGGGTGACCTCCAGCTCCCATCCTGTCTAGGACCCAGGGACAGGGGCCCCTTCACAGCTCCAGGGGATAAGGGGACTGTCACCACCTCATCCGTCACCCCCACCTCTATACCCCGCTCCTTCACTGACCCTGGGGGAGGAGGGAAGGGCCAACTGGATAGTGCTCTGCCCTCTCTCCCCCATGCAGGGCACCCAGTCATGCCGAATATATAAGACACGGAAGCTCCACTCCCAACTCCTACGTGGGGGCACAAAATCACAGAAGCAGGACTTCTCCTTTGCCCCACCCCAGAAAATGGCCTGTCCACCACTCCCGGCCCCTCCGAGCCCCAGCTGGGGGCTGAGTTAGGTTAGGGACTGTGCTCTTGGGAGCCCAGCTGTTGAGGCAGGGGAGGTGTCAGTCTTCAGACTGCCCAGGCCCATGATCCTGTGCTGGGTCCCTTCCAGAGGGCACAGTGAAGAGGAGAATATGGCGTCCCAGAAATAGCTCCGAGGACCCAGGGTGACTGAGGATGCTGCCACAGAGCCCTCACTCCAGGAACAGGTGTACACAGCAGGGCTCCTACCTCGCTTGCTGTCCTCTGGACAGGGGACAGTCACAAAGCTCACAGGGTCCCACCTGGCCCTTCTCGGACCTCTGCCCCCTCCACTGAGGGGGTCCCAGAGTCTGACCAGAGGAGGGGTTTCCTGGCGTGCCCACTTCCGGCTCCCTTCTGGCCAGGCCACCAGGCTGAAGTTCTGCCTTGAGCTGGGGGACGGGAGGAAGGTCGGAAGCACACCTCAAGTCCAGCCAGGATGGGGCCTGTGTCACGCCGAGGTCGCTGGGGTGGCGGACGCCCTTCAGGCAAGTCCCCTGTCTCTGTGGTAAAGAAGCTGCTGGCAGGTTGGATAGAAACTTGTGCTTTAATATATCTGTGTGAGTGTGAGCGTGTAAGTGTGCGTGTGTCAAACAACTGTCTCCAGGGCCTGGGTGCCGGGCCTGTCCTTATTCTCTGTCCTTGTTCTCCAAGGCAATGCGGGCCCCTCCCTGGTGGGCCGGCCCTGCCCCTGGGCACCCCGGCTGGCGGGGGTCAGTCTTTGGTACGATGTGGACACTTTGGTGTGCCGGGGCGGGGTGGGGGCCGCGCAGCTCTCATCATCTTTGCAACGCCAAGAGGAAGACGGCCGTGGGCCCCCAGAGCTGCAGGCTGGCCTGGCGGGGGGCTCCGCTGCCCGGCATCACCACCACTGCGACAGGAGAGAGGAGACAGGCCAGGCCTCCGGTCAGCTCTGGTAGGGGCGGGGAGTAGGAGGGGTCCCCATTCTACCACCCTATCGTTTTGTGGGGCCCGAAGGTGAGCGCTTGATACACACAGATACACTCAGGAGTGCAGACCTGAGGCGGGTGGCCTGAGGGTTCACTCAGCCTGCTGGGGTTCCTGCTCACTAAGACGAGGAGCAATTTCCCACCTCTGTGGGGCTCAGTTTCCTTATCCGTGAAATGGGTCTACAAGCATGAGCTACCCCGAGGGCTGAGGCGGGGATCAGGTGAAACATGCATGTACAACGGTTGTTGTACCTTGCCCGGTACACAGTTATCACCCGGTCAACTGGAGCCGTTGGCATTGGAATCGCCTGGCCCCTGGAAGGCACAGGTCCACACCTGGAGCCACAGAGGGGTGCTGAGGCGCAGGCTCAGGAGGTGGCTAAGACTGAACAACTCAGTACTCCTCAGAGGAGGCCAGCTGGGGGTTTCTCACTGTCCTCCGGGTGCCCCGTGCCTGGCTCAGGATGGGCGCGCGTTTACACCGTCAGACTGTACACAGTTCCCACCACCCCAGTGATCTGAACCCTCCCCCACGGCCCACAGACTCAGCCCTCACCCCTTCCCATTCTGCACCTTTATTGGGATCCATCTGCTTCCGGGGACACTCTCCCTTCTTCAGTGTGACATCGTCTATGGCAATATCCCCCAGGTAGCCCGAGCCTCGAACCCCCTCAAAGATAATCTGGGGTGAGGTCAGAGAGTGGGAGAGGCAGGAGTCAGTGAGGTTCTGCCATCACAAAGACCGCCACCCATCCCCTCGATCCACCAGAAAGGCCCCCCCGGGAAGGAGCACAAGGCCCCTGGAAGTGCCTCCTGGCTGGGTACCCACCTGGGCCTGGGCCCAGCGTCTCACCTGGAAGGGCCCACTGGGGATGATGGGCACATGAGCCTGCTGCCACACGTTGCCCTTATTGCCACTGAGGGACCAGGCGTGCGTGTCCAGAGCCCCTTTGTTCCGGGACCGCACCAGGAGGTTGAGGGAGCCTGTGGCAAGTGACAAAGGGGGACAGCGAGGTCTGCAAGGGCACCCTTACCTTCCCGCATGTACCGAGGCCCCCTCCCCACTAGGGCCCACACAGCCGCCATGCTGGATGGGACCATCCCTCATCCCGATGGGTTCAGAGTCCTCCTGCTGCAGCGGGACCACATACAGAAGGGAAAGAGGACAGCAACAGGATTTCAGCTCATCAGGACGGCTTGCAAATTTCTCTTCATTTCTTCCCTTCCCTGCTAATCAACCAAACCAACCACCCTGAAACCCACACCACCTACCCTTTCCCTTTACACAGGGAAGCCATGCCAGGCAGTGAGACCTACACCTTCGCCCAGAGCAGGGGCCCCACAGAGCACAATGCACACCCCTGCTGTGTGTGATCTCTAATGACCGGTGAACTAAAGATACAGTGTTAGTCCATGTGCAACAGCGAGCGTGAGATTTTGGAGGCAGTAGCCTGGGGGTGTTGGGTCCATCTGCCCACAGCCACAGCGATCTTCAATTTTAGGGGTCCTGAGGGGCACTAGCTGAGAGGGAGGGGGTCACCCTGGGTAAGAGCACAGAGCCAATGTCATTGCCCTCTCCTTGTCTCTTCCAGGCTATCTCGAGCCCCCAGGGACATAAAAGAACTGGATCTTTGGGAAAGGGAATCAATCTCAGACAGTGCCGATGGCTGGCATTTCCATGGCGCTGCCCACAGACAAAGCCACACCATCTGTGACACCAGACAGACAAACCCTCGGTGGGGGACAGCCACCAAATGCTACCTGCTGGGGAGGAAAGCAGGAGAGCTGATGAGACACAAGGTTTGGGAACAGCTGGTGCCCAAGGCTGCCAGGCAGGGTGGGAGAAGCCGAGACAGCAAGAGATGCCCCTCTCAGCAGCAGAGCCAGGTCAGGGCACACCCTGAAGGCAGGTGGGGTCACCCTGCCAGCAGATGAGCCCTTGGGCCGGGCTGCAATCAGCACCCAATAGAACAGGAAGTACTGGCTTTGAAAGAGCCCAAGCCCAGCATCTTTTGGGGTCCTTAATAATCCCAAATGCACTGCTTGCTCTCTCTTCCTCCCACTCAAGGCCTCAGTCTCCCTAACTTTTCTTTCTCCCCTGCTAACCTGCCCTGAGGGCTCTGATGGGAAAACTTACTTTTTTTTTTTAACCAAACAAAAATCAATTTTCTGCCCCACTTCTTTGAACACCCCCCCTCCACAGCTGCAAGGTCTTCCCTGCTCAGGGACTTCCTGGCATCTATTCACAGGAGTTGGCCAGAGCCCAAGGTCCTCAACCTCCCTAAGATCCACTTCCCTATGAGTCAATCTGCTCACTACATTCCTGCCCATCTTTCTCGCCACCTCCAAAGCCACTTGGCACTGCACACTGATGTCTGGCTACAGCCTGCTCCCCAGGCTTGGTCCTTGCCCTCTCTGTGTGATGCCCTCCTCACCATTCCTCCTGTAGAATCCTTCATCTCAAGGCCCCTCTGTAACGCCACCTCCTCCGGAAAGTGCCCCTAGGCTTCAGCTGGGAGCCCACTACCCTCCTCCGGAACTCTGAGGCTTAAACTGCAGCTCCTCCCACCCAGACCACTCTGCCCTGCGGCGTGGCAGCGAGCAAGAGTCACAGCTTCGCTCCCCCACCTTACACCAGAGGGAAGGCCTGGGTCAAATGTCCATCAGTTCTCACCAATTAAAATGCTGAACAAAGAGATTCTCATAATTGCCTTTCATAGAATCCCAGAGTTGAAAGCTACCTCAGGGTGCAAACCTCCATCCCTTAGTCATTCATCCATCCATCCATTCATTCATTCAACTAATTGAGCACCACTATGTGCCAGGCATTGTTCTAGGCACTAGAATAAGACAGACTCCTGCCCTCATGGAGCTCACCTTCCCCTGGCAGTAAGCATTACAAGGAAAGCAATGCAGGGAAAAGGATGAGGACTATTTCAGATGGGATGGTCTGGGACCTCTCTAAGGAGAGTCGAGTGGAGGGAGGGCTCGACATTCTAGGCCAGGGAAACACCACGAGCAAAGGCCTCTGAGGCAGTGTTCAAAGCAAAGGAAAAAGACCAGTGTTCCAGAGCCAGATGGCAGCAGGTGACGTCAGAGAAGCAGCCAGGGGCCGGGTGGGGCGAGGGAGGGTGGAAATGGGTGGTGAGACTGACACAATCCGGGATGGGACCCCTCCACAGCATGCCTGCTGGGTAGTTCTGCCCAGGGACGGGATGGACGGATGCTAACCATCCCTCAAGATAGCCCACCTCTTTGCTAGACAGATCTGATGCTTTAGGGTCTTTGATGGGTGGAACTCAAATCTGCCTTCTAGAAGTTTCCACCGAGTAGTGTTTGTTTTACCCCTGGGGAGCCCAGAGCAAGGTCTGTCTGTCACACACACTGTCCCCTTTGGCTTTGCTGTTTCCCGGGTCCTTACTGGGTCCAACATGCTCCTCCTGGCTGCTGGGTCCCCAATCCCCTCCTGAGGTGACACTGACCAATCACCCTACTTTGCCTGGGACTGAGAGGATTCCGTGCTAAAACTAGGTCACGGTGGAACAAATCAGAATGAACTGGCTACTCTAACTTGGGAAACCAGATGGAAAGTAGAGGGTAGGAGAGGGCTGGGCAGTCTCGGTCAGGCCGTGTCCTCACCCACCCCAGAGGAAATTCATGAGTCCACACCCAGCCGTGAGCACACTGCATGGTTGGTTTGGGGCCCCAGTGGAAGCAGACGTCGTGTTCCACCCTACCCTACCCGATCTGTTCAGCTTGACCCACCAGCCTAGCTGTGGTGCCTTGTCCAGCACGACCCATTAGGTCCAGACATGTTTAAAGTTCCTCCTTGACCTGTGCAGTGGAGAGAAAATGAGCTTTCTGTGGGCTAATTAGGAATGGTCCCCAGGACCATGGAGAGTTCAGAGGGCACAGGAGAGCCCAGGACAGTGCAAGGGGGGAAAATGGAATGTGTGTGTGTGAGCGTGTGTGCATCTGTGTGTGTGATGGTTTCTACAGGCATAAAGTATCCTTGGAAATGTAGTCTATTGCTTGTCTCTGGGGTCGCTCTAAGTGGCAGGTACTTCATTTGTACCCTCCGGCCCATGGGAAATAGATTACCTTTCCTGTCAGTAAACACATACACATTTCCAGTCATTGCCATTCCTCGGCAGACTCTCCCGTGACCACGCCCCCAGCCTCGGCAGGTCTGCGTTTCCAGCTGTCTTAGCCTTGCCCTTGTACTACCCCAGTGGGCACAACTCCGATCTGACGCTATGAGTTGTCCAAGGTCTGTCTCTTCTGCATAGCTGGACGTGCCAAGAGGCTGAGGGACTTAGCCTGAGCTTCCTGCACTCTAGCACCTCGTACCTGGCACAGGGCAGAAGCTCAGGGAGGGATGGCTGGAGGGACAAGCTCCTGGGTTCAAGTGACGCCGCTCCCAGTGTCCTCTCTCCCCAAGGGGCATTCCTTAAGTTCAGTCCCACCCTTCAGAAGCAGGACTTCCACACATGGCTCATACGGAAGTATCCTTCCGGTCCTGGGTGTAGGACTTGGGCAGTCAGAGCAAGGTGGGGTGCTGTGCTGTGTGGTCCTGGGAAAATGCTTAAGCTCCCCGAGTTGTATTCATATCGCCCCTTCAAGGACCAGTGGTTTAGCCAAGGTAGAACGCTCAGGCCTCCTGTGTGGCCCCCTCCCCCAGCACCCCCTCGGTCAGACTGCCTGGGCCCTGACTCACCGATGTGCTTCCCATACATGTGGTAGAAGAAAGAGACGCAGTAGAACTTGGCGCTGGCATTGTAGAGGGGACTCACCAACCTCGCACGGTCCCCCAGCTCCCGGGGCCGGGATGTCTCAATGAACATGTAGTAGCCTGCAAGGGAGGGGAGATGTGACCACATACCCGCTTTCCCAGGCCTGTCAGCTGATCCCTCTCAGCCCGACCTTCGGCTGCTGAGTCTCCGGGCCTCACCCGAGCTCCCTGCCTACCACGCAGCTCAGGGTTCTGGTCAGAGTTCATGAGTATTTGGCTCTGTGGTCAGTTTCTCTTCTTTCTGATCCTCCATGTTCCCCTCACACTGGGGCTCCAAGGACAGGGACCTCGTCTCTCTGAGGCCAGGGCTCCCCAAGGACTGGCTGCGTCCTCCTCAGCCTGGGGCTCCGCAGGCCCAGATCCCTCCCTGAAGCCATCTGCTGTCGCTGCCCCAGGCCATGTCCTCACCCTCAGGGGTGCCACTGATGTCCGTGGGGGGCCCAGTGTTGGGGGAGCGCTTGGGGTTCTGGGTGAGGGCGTTCTGCCTGGTCCAGTCAAAGTTGTCTGTCAGGTCCTGGGTGTAGCCACATATCTTCTCCTCCTCGAAGTGGCAGGTGTTATCTGCAGCAGCAGGGCGGGCAGGAGGGTAAACAAAGGCTCAGCTCCTCAGCCCTCCTCCCCCATCAGCAAGGAAGCCCTCAAGTATCTGAGCAATGAGCCCGGGATTTCAAGGCGACAGGGCCCAGGACAAATTTGTTTCCGGAGCAAGTTTTCTTTGTGCCACGAACTTTTCTGACTCCTATTGAAGCGTTAAGGATCTCATCTCAGAATAATGGTTTTAGACACATAACATGAAATGCACAGGATCACAAAGGAAATCAATTATATTGAAATACAGTTGTCAAAAATTGTTTTAATTTGGTATTTAATAACTGGGCTTCTTTATTATCTAATTAAATCACAAGATTTATTGTTAGCCTAATAACTACTGTAGTTTTGAAATACTAATGAATGTAAGTGATATTTAGAGATCTCCGCAAGAACTGGGAGGTGATGTGAAAACATTGGATTTCTCCTGACAGTCGCAGATACCGATCATTCTACTGTGGTTTATAACCTGCATCCATCATTAACAGGGAGAAAAATCTCTGATGGAAGTTAGGGAAAATAAAGAAACAACTATATTCCCCCATTCATACACCCCTTGAATTCTATACACAGATTACTTGGGGGTCCAAGGAGCACAGATTAGGGGTTGTGGATTAGCCTGGCTTCTCCTTTTCCTTTAGGGACAGTGAACATTGTCCCCTGTCCCCCACTACCACCACCCAGTCTAAGCCCCAGAATAAACCCTGGCTGCCAACTCTCCAGCCTGGCCTTGAGGCTGCTGGCCCTTGCCTGTGGGAGTCATTTTCTCTCTGGGTATCTCAAAGTCCCTTCTTCCCATCATTTCATCCCTAACAGGAAGGGGACATCAAGGGGAGAGGAGAGGGGTGGAGGGATGTCTCACCTGACAGGTTTGGAGAGTTGATGGCTGAGGAAGCAAACAAGGAAACAAGTCAGCATCAAGGGTGCCCGTTCAGGGGTTCTTGGGTTGGGCGGGGGGACATGGTCCTCAGAGTCAAGACTGGGGACTGGTGGGCCTGGCCTGCAGGGATAGCGTCAGAGAAGGCATGGTGGGGCCCCCCAAGCTTGGGAGCTGTGTGTGGAGGGTCGCAGGAGTCCCTGAGCATGAGATGGACCCACCCTTCCCATCACAACCACCACTGTCACCATTGTCACCTACGCTCTGTGTAGTGGATGATTCGGGAAGCCATGTCACCAGCCCCAAAAGTGGTATAGGGTGTGAGGCGGATCTCATAGCTGTGGGGCACACGGAGATCAGTCAGGATGTACTCCAGCAGCTGCCCCTTCTCCACACGCCTTACGGGGATGGCTTTGACCACGGTGTTGTGCTGGTTCAGCTGTAGATACAGGGAGTTCCCAGATGCCCGGAAGGTCGCACTCTTCCCCGAGTACCAGCCCAAACACTCGAGTGACTTGGGTCGGGAGTGTGGAGGAGCAGAAAGAGCAAAGGCCTAGGACATCAGGCCCTCAGTGTCCCTTGTCTGTGCCCTGGGACAATCACCCCTTCCAGGTCCTCCTCCCAGAGCTGCCTCAATTATAACAGTGATAGCAACATATACTGCACAATGAATGTGTGCTGTGTACTGCCCTAAGTGCTCTGTCATTATTAACTCATTTAATCCTTAAATTAATAATAATCCTACGAGGCAGAATATTCAAATTGCCCCCACTCTGCAGGTAAGGAAATGAAGCCAAAGACATGTAAGCTTGCCTAAACTCACACAGAGATGGATCCTCACCCACGCAGTGGCCCCAGAGCCTTGCCCTTGCCCTCCACACAGGACACTGGCCTTGCGCTGCAGAGCCCCCTGCCCCCTGCCCTTGACCTAAGCATAGATTCTATGTTCGGTGAGCAATGCTGGCTCCCCATGGACCCCGCTGACTCTTGCCCAGTTCTCAGGGCTGTGCCCAGACACAGGTACCGCAAGCTCCCAGATCCTGTGACTGTATCTGCCGCTGAAGAGGGCCCATGGGTCCGAGCCCCTGTCCCACCCATCCCCTGTCCTCGATACACACGCATTCCCGGTCAGCCATGCCAGCCCCATCGTCCCAGGCTCTGCTCCCCCTTGGCCCACCTGCCGGACACTGAGTCTGTAGTTGAGCACAGGGTCCACTGCATCAGGCTCCCTCTGCGTCCACTGCAGCACGTAGGAGTAGTTCTTGGACAGCTTGTGGCTGCGGGTGGGGTTGGGGGTGTCGAAGTAAAACTCCGGGCTGTAGGCTTTGGCTGAGAGGGAGGGGAGGGGGCGTGGGGCCGTGGAGGGTGGGGGGTGGCAGAGACAGAGAGAGGAGGCACGGACAGGAAGACAGAGGACGCGGTGTCCGGGCAACAAAGAGAAAGGGGGTATTGTGAGGAGAGGGGTGTTGGAAGAAGAGAGAGGTTTGGGAAAATGAGGGTAGGGGAAGAAGTGAGGTGGAGATGGAGCGAAGGGAAATTACAAGTTCCGAGAGGCAATGTTGGTGAGAATAGAGAGGAGAGGTGAACGAAGAGCCAGAGAAAAGAAATTTGGGGAGTCACAGGGAAGGGCATTAGGGAAAAGAGAGAGAGAGGTTTGAGGCAAAGTCACAAAGAAGGGTCAGGGACAACAAAGAGGACAGGAAGACAGAGAATGGACAGAGGCAAAAAGGTAGGGAGACAGGGGAAGTGTGGAGAACAGGGGAGAAGGGGAGGAGGTGGGAAATGTCACAGGGGCCTCCGGCTGGTAGGGCTGAGTGGGTGGGAGGAGCCGGGGAGGTGGCCAGTGACCCGTGGTCCCACCCCCCTCCTGAAGAGTTCACAGAGATGTCGACAAAGCTGGGGTGCAGTGGAATGGGGACAAGCAGCCTGCAGCTTTCCTTGAGGGACTCTGCCATCAGTTCCGGCAGGAAGGTGGCTTTCCCCAAATGGAGGGAAAAGGAAGGGTCACTGTGACCCAGGCAGACCCCTTCACTGCCTCCATGCCTTTCTGACTCCATCCATGGCCTATCCACAGCCCATCTGGGAAGGACTTGAGGTACAGGTAGGGCTGAGAGGGACCCTGGGCCCCAAACAGCCTGCATTTCTAGGGTGCCATTCCAGAGAAGCTCTTGAGGGCCGTCTTCTTCCCTTTCCAGCTCAGCCCTGGAGGGGTTCAGCATCCACAGCCTCTGGGGCCGAGGACCAGGGAGGAAGGCCGTCCATCGAGCTGGCTGAGAACGGGCTGAGTCCAGCCTGGGCATGGGTGGGGCTGGAGGGCTGGAAGCCCAGAGCTGGGTTTGGACGAGGCTGTAAGGGGTGGAGCGTATGTTTAATGTGGGCGGGGCCTAGACCAGGTATGGGCGGATCCCTAGAGGGAAGGGCCTAGCGCTGGCGAAGGCTGGGCTTGAAAGGGACTTGACTGACTCAGATCAGATCAGATATTGGCCTAGACAGGGAGAGAAGGGCGTGGGCTGTGTCCGGAGGGGCGGGGCTTTAAGAGAAGGCCAATGATTGGATCAGGGCCGCACAGGGCTGGGTCTACAACGCTACTGGCTGGATGGGCCTCAAAGAGACCCGACGGGGCCGGTGGGGCCCGGGATTTAGCTCAGTGGTTCCGCCGCCTGCCTCACAAGCACAAGGTCCCGAGTTCGGTCCCCGGTACCAAAAAACAAACAAAAAAACCCAGACCTAACCAGACCAGACCGGCCAGAGCCTGGCACCCTTGGTAGGGGGCCGGACCGACGGGACGCTCACCGGAGACCTGGAAGAGGCAGGCGGCCGACCCCACATCATTGGAGACGCTGCACTCGTAGCTGCCGCTGCTGTCACGGGTCAAGGCGTCCAGGCGCAGCTCGGCGTGGTCCGGGGCCTCGGCGGCGGCGGCGGCGGCGGCGGGGACAACAGGCGGCGGAGGTAGCAGCTGCCCCTTGAAGCGCCAAGCGGCCGAGCCGATGCGCTGGGGGTTGCCGCGCAGGAGCGCGCAGCGCAGGAGGACGGGCCGGCCCAGCGCCTGGCGCACGTCCTGGGTCTCGGGCTCCACCTCGGGCGGGACTGGGGGCGGAGCGGCGGTCAGCCCAGGACGAACCCAGGCCACACTTTCATGCCACGGCCGCGCCCACACCTCCCGGCCATCCCTCCAGCCAGGCTTCCCAGACTGGGCCTCTGTTGAGCCCCGAGTTGTTCCTCCCGCTTTGTAACGAAGGTCCGGGTTTTAGAGCACTCTCTAGAGCTATGAGGATTAGGATCGAATCCCAGTCCTGCCTTTCGTCTACCTGGGAGAATGGAGTAGGCAAATGACGTAACCTCTCTGCGCCTTGAGGGGAATCAGAGAATCTAATCGTGGTGCTGCTGAAGGTTAAATGAGCCAATGCACTTAACCGCTCCTACCACGGGTGGACAGGCAAGTAGTGAGTTAGTTTTCATTTTGTTATCAGGCCAGGCCGCGTCCCCCCTTGAGGATCCTTCCTCCTGCAAAAAGCCCGTTTCCACCTGTCACAATCTAGCTATTTCTTTGTTTGCCAGGTCCCAGAAAATGAAGCTGGGAGGGCACAATTGTGGGGCAAGGGACTCAGACCCCCGGGTCTTTCAGCACAGGTCTGCCAAGGAGGTTGTAGGGTTGGTTGGACCACGTGGGTGCGGGCGGGCGGACTCACACTGCACATTCAGCTGCACCTGGGCCTCGCGAGGGCGCACGTTGAAGCCGTTGTAGCGAGCCGTCTGGCAGCGGTAAGTGCCGCTCATGTCGCGGCTCACGCGCTCCAGCCGCAGCTTCCCGTCCGGCGTCTCCTCCAGGGCCAGCCCCGAGGGCAGCAGGGCAGCCTCCTTGTCCACGCGCGACCAGAGCACGGGCGGCCGGGGCTTGCCGCGCACCTCGCAGTGGAGCTCGGCGGGCGAGCCCTCGCGCACTGTGACCACCGCCCTGCCCTTGGGCACGCTGATGGTGGGGGGCACTGGGGACGGAGGAGGGTCAGGAGAGGCGATTAGACCCCCCCATCCCCTGCCCCCTTCCCTGCCTCTGACTTGGGGCCCCTTCCTCCCCGGCCCAGATTTCCCACTAATTCCCTCAAGTGGGTCCCTCTGCCCCTGTGTAACTCAACCTGCCTCGGAGTCTCCCAATTTATGACGTCTTGAAGTCAGCCCGGCCTTTTCCTTCCTCCCCAGCATTGCTAAGTACTGGGGATTCCCCCACCCTTAAGCATTTCTACTCAATTTCTCCTCTCTCAACCCCCTTTCTCCTACCCATGACTGCCCTGGTTAAGGCCTTTACCTTTTCTCTCCAGGGGTGTAATCACGGACCACTAGTCTATCCCCAACACCCGCCCTCCCTTCCAAAGTCTTAGAGCGAGGTGCTTGGTTTTCAGTAGGGCACACAGCCACCCAGAATAAGGACTACATCTCCTAGCTTCCCTAGGAACTACTGATTGCCACGTGACTAAATCCTGGCCAATGGAATATGAGGGAGAAATACAGGTCTATTAAAAAGAAGAGGGCCAGGGATTTAGCTCAGTGGTTTCACCGCCTGCTGTGCAAGCGCAAGGACCTGAGTTCGATCCCCGGTACCAAAAAATAAATAAATTTATTTATTTATTTTTTTGTGCTCCCTCTTCTTCCTGCAGGCCTGAGTGTAGCTCGCTGGACCAGGTGGCCCATGCTAAGGGAACAGAAAGTCAAAGGAGCCTGGAGCCCAGAGGACTTGGTGGAGCATTGCCACTCTACTGGCCCAAACTGCAGACCAATGGACTACTACAAGAGGAAGCAATAGGCTTCTAGCTTGCTTAAGCCACGCCCACCCCCACCCCCAGGTGCTGGGACTCAAGCTCAGGGCCTTTTGCATGCTGGGCAAGTACTTCATTGAGCTACATCCCCAGCCCCTAAGCCACTATTAATTAGAATTCTATTAATCACAGTTGAACCTAATCCAACCCAACACGTTGCCCAAACGGAGAGTCTTTTGAAGACCTTCCTGGGTCCTATTCCACCCCACATCAAACAAATTAAAATGCACTAGTGTATTTTATCATTAAGAATTAAATAATTAATATTAAATACAGTTAAATTATAAAGTTACTAAAGTTACTATTTTTAAACAATTCTACAAAGCAAGCTAAGGCCTGGTTATCTAGTTAGCATAATTTATACACTATAAACATTTATACATTTAATGGCTTTAGTTTTGCAGTTTTCTCTTTGTATTTTGGAGCCAGCTAATTTATTTTTCCAAGACTAAATCGATTCCTGGGGCTCTACAAAGCTTCCATGCCCTAGGCAGCAGATTTAGGAACCAAATGGAGAAACAGCCCTGGGCCCCTTCCTGGTATCTAACACATCTCAGCTCCCAACACCACACCCCACACAGCCTAAAGCGGGCTCTCCCTCTCCAGGCCCTCGGGTTAAAGCTTAAACTCTTTGGCTCTGCAAACGAGGCCCTCAGGCTCTGGCCTCCCCTGCTGAACACCCCCACCCCATCTCAAATCCCAGCTGTCAGATCTGCCTGTGAGGTACACTCACTGGACACATCAAGCCTCCTGTTTCAGGGGATTCCCCCTTTCTTTCTGCCGGTTTTATCCTTTCCTGGGCTTGTCCCTCTGCCTGGCAAATTCCAACACACCCTCCAAGGCTGACGTGAGCTTGTGTCCTGGAGAGCCTCTTCTGCCTTCCAGAGGCAGCTGGGTTCTCCCTCCTGGGGTCTCCCAGGGTGCTCTACAGACCCCTCCTTCACCTCCCCAGTCACATCTCCCGGGTTTGCACTGCAGGGTCCTGCCTCACCCCTCCCTGCCCAGGCAATGAGCTCTGAGAAAGAGGCTCTGGCCTCCTGCATCTGGATCCTCTGGTCCCCCCCTAGAATTCCACACAAAGCAGTTTGCAAAATGAATCTATGGAAGCAGTGGAGTTCTGGTCCCCTCCCAAAGCCCAGCTCAAGCGGCCCTGACCTCTGGGTCTCCCCTTCAGCAGATGTCAGGGTGGGAGAGGCCTCTGAGGCCACCTGCTCTTAATTTCTCATACAGAGAAGTGGAGCCGAGAGAGCGGAAATGCTAGAACAGAAAGTACTCCTAACAGAACTCTCATTTCTGCCTCTGGTTGCAGGATATCTGCTCCTCAGTTCTGAGTGCTGGGCCCGAGTTAAGCTCTCCCAAGGGTCCTGTCCGATCTCCTGTCCTGCCCAAAGTGCAAACCCTGCAGTGGTGGCTGGGGACAGGCTCTGGGTCCTGATTCCAGCTCCCACACTGACTGTGCTGTCACCTGGCTAAGTTTCTGAAGCTGCCTGAACCTAAATTTCTTCATGTGTAAAATGAGAAGACAAATGACTGCCCTGCAAGGTCAGTCACACGAGTGAATGAGAAAAACATAAAATCATCGAACACACAGTAAATAGTAAATGTTAGCCATCATCACATTGCTATTGTTATTTATTATTGGAATAAAGACCCACATCTTCACCATGGCCTAGTATGGGCTGAATTGTGTGCCCTCAAAATGAAGTCTTAACACCTAGCACCTTGGAATGTGACTGTTTAGAGACAGAGTACTTAAGGTTAAATGATGTCACTAGGACGCCCCCCAACCCATGAGACTGGTGTTCTTCTAAGTGGATTAACATAGATACCCACACAAGAAAGACCACGTGAAGACAGAGAAGGTGAGAGGCCTTCGTCTGCAAGCCAAGAAGAGAGGCCTCAGAAGAAACCAACCCTGCCAACACATCTCCCTCGCAGACTATTAGCCTCCAGAATCAGATGAAAATGAATTTCTGTGGAAGCCACCCAATCCGTGAGAGTATTATTTTTCTTTGGAAGATTTATTTTTTTATTTTTTTGGTTTTTTGAGACAGGGTCTCACGATGTAGTTCAGACTGGCCTTGAACGCACTAGTACTCCAGGCTGGCCTCACACTTGCAGCAATCCTTCTGCCTCAGCCTCCCAAGTGCTGGGATTACAACCATGCACCACTATGCCCGGCCTTTTGTGATAGTATTATTAACCGTCCTAAAAAATGAATACAGCTTACAAGGCCACAGTTGATCTGGCCCTGCTGAGCCCTTTGAGCTCACCCCACCCCATTCTCTCAGCCAGCCTTACCTCCTTTCAGCTCTCCAAAAGGCCAATGTACCTTGCTGCCTCAGTGCCTTTGCACTTGCAGATTCCTTGGCCTGCACTACTCTTTCCCCACCTTTCCCTTCCTCTCCTTTGTTAAGTAAAATCCTGCCCCTCCTTCAGATCTCAAATCAAGGATTCTATCTCAGGAAACTCTTTCTAGACTCATGTATCCCAATTTGCAATGATAGATTTGTTTGTGAAACAACCTGAAAAATATTTACTTTCCTACTACATTCAATGAGGACAGAGTCTATTTTTCCCACTGCTCTATTCCAGGCCCTACCACAGCACCTAGCACTTACTAGGGTCTCAAGAAATGTATACAGCCTGAAAACATGATGTCCTCGCTGGCCTCCCTTTTCCAAGCTGCTGCCCCACACCCTCACGCCAGGCCTCTCTGGTTTCCCACAGCTCCCTGATGCCCCTCCAGCTGCCCACCTGTCTCGGAGGAGATGTTGACCTCGACACTGAGGTCAGACACAGGTGCCCCTGGGAAGGAAGCCATGCACAGGTAGGTGCCATAGTCACTGAAATGCAGGTCGATGAGCTCCAGGCTGCTGGTGACGGCAGGCAGCTCAGGGTCATTGCGGGTCACCAGAAGCCGCTTGGACATGCGCGCTGGCTTGCCATTCTTGAACCACTGGTAGGTGACCTTCTCCTGGGGCGTCGCATCCACGTGGCATGACAGCTTGAGGTCCTGGCCCAGCTGTATGTTCTCACTCTCTTTGATCACATCTGGGGTGATCTGGAAGGTGGCATTCTTCATGGCTATGGGGGTCGAGAGGGGAGGGTGGCTGGGGCTGGCCCAAAGCCAGGGGTCCACGCCCCACCCACACCCAGCCCAGCTTCTCCCCTCAAACGGCCCCCCTGGACCAGAGGCTGGGGACTGCAACCCCCCACGAGAGACCATTCCTTTTCTCTGCTTGGAAACTCTTCTACGTGATCATGTATTTTTTAAAACTCACTGGAGAAAAATGAGTTTAATAATAATGCTAGTCATGGGGCAGCATACAGCATCCATCCCCACCCAGTCTTTGTGGGGTTACGTCATTATCCTTATTTTACAAAGAAGAAAACCAGGCTCAGAATTCCCCCTCCCAAGCATTCTTGACCACTACACACTGCTTTATGTTTATTTTTGTTTTAAGCCTCAAATACCAATTTGGAAGCACACACCAGCATATAATAATGACCCTATCTAGAGAGTGGAACTAAGAGAAACTGAAAGGCAATTAATTTGCGCATTTTTCCCTTATGTGCTGTTTGATTCTTTGCTATAAGTTTGTGTTGTTTTTATAATAAAAGACAATACAATTGTCTTACATGCGATTACATAAAAATACAAAGTCTAGAAAGAAAAGGGTCTAGCCCCTTTTAAAGGTGTAGATCTTATTTGAAGTGAGCCAAAGAGTAGAGTTCTTAGTAAGTGGAGTGCTAACTGGGCAGGAAACTGGCACACCAGCCACAAATTAGGACTGGGCTGGTGAAAGCAGGTGTAGGGTCATCACCTTCAGAGGGGACCATAAGTTGCAGCCCAGGTTTTAAAGGCCAACTAGAATAGGTGGAGAAAAAATAAGCTGCTGCTGCTGCTGCTGCTGCTGGGAAAAGTACTATAAAAGGAAAAAATGGTCATCAGATAGCCACAATCTTGTTACCTTTTTTCTTAAATCTAAGTGAAAAGTCAGAAAGACCTGCTTTCTGTGAGGAGAGTCAGAAAGAGAGCAATAGGTTAGAAACAGACGGACAAGGCGAGTTCATGTCATCGTAGACTCAAGTTTGGCAGCAACTGCACTCTGCTTTCAAGGTGAATGAGCTAGGCACAAGCCTGGATCTTCAAAGCAAAAATACCTAAACAATTTAAAGTTTTCTCCTTCAACCAGAGTAGCAGAATCAAGATCACAGCAAGCAGCTCATGGCAACCACCGAGGCTGAGGGTTTGGTTTTGTTCTGTTTCGAGGCTGAGGTTTAATGAGGAAAGGGTGTGTACCGTTCTCCAAGTTTGGTATCATTTTCACACTCAGTGATGATCTTCAGATTCACTGAAATGCTTTGCTACTAAAGATTTACATAAGAGGCCTAGAGAAATGTCGTTTTTCACTTAAATTCAGTTAATCACATAGAAAGGACTGTACAGAGGGAATGCCAAGGGATTTCTCCTGAAGCCTGGTATCCACCTCAGCTTTTTGCAATATCTGTTTCCCAATCTAAAAATTAAAAAAGTATAGGTGATCAATACCAGTCCTTCCTACTCCTTGGAATGCCAAGGCTATATTTAGAAATGTAAATTATAACATGCCTCTGACCCTGCAGAAGGAGGCAGACCCTGTCCCAGTTCACAGGCAGCACCGGGACTTCCCTCCTCCCCGCCTGAGGCCACGTACACCGCACCAGCAGGTTGACAGTCTTCTTCGCAGGGTTGCCCACGTTGTTGGTGGCCGTGCAGTTGTAGTAGCCAGAGTCCCCGGCCTGCACTGAAGGGATGCGGAGGGTGCCACCCTGGGCCAGGGCACCCAGGGGGAGTGGGCCAGGCCCATGGGACCACTGCAGCTGGGGCAGAGGATCGCCGCCCGTCAGCAGGCACTGCACTGTCACATTCTCCCCAGGGTTCACCACCAAAGTCTCGTTCACAGACAACTTTAGGGCTGGCGGTGCTGGGAGGACAAGGAGGTAGGGTCTCAGAGGGCTGTCTGAGGGAGAGCCCAGGGGCCTGGGAAATGGTAGGGGTCAGAGGACTGGGGCAGATGAGAAGGAAGAAAGCAGGAGTAGGCCCAGGGGAGGAAGGCCAGGCATACTGACCGGGCACCGCCTCCCCCTCCGGGAGTGGGCACAGGGCGCGGCGGGGAAGCCTACCTGTGGTGTTGGTGAGCTGGAAGGTGATGGCCTTGTCTGGGATCCCACACACATTTCGTACAGACACCTGGCAGGTATAGCTGGCGTAGTCTTGGGGCCGCAGGTTCTTCAGTTTCAGGACCTTGGTCTCCCCCTGGGCAGTAGTGGACCACTGGAGTGAGGGACCCCTGGAGTCTCCAAGGGGTCCCCCACCCTTCTTCACCCAGCACCACCTTATTCCTGTTCCAGTTCCCATCTTCCGGCCCACACCCACACCACTTACTGTACCCTGGGGCAGGGGTCCCTGGGCCTGGAGGGCTGCCACAGTGCCACACTCTGCTACCCTTGGCACTGCCTCCTCATAGGCTTCTCTGGGTCTGAGGTACCTTGGTGCATACTGGCCAGCCCTCAGTTTCCCCACTCTGGGAAATGGAGGGAAACCTGCTCTGTCTTACAACCCATGGCAACGGGGGCCTGGACCACACAGAGGACTCTGACAGCCCCCTCCAGAGCCCTCCCCGCCCCAGCTCTTGCAGCACCCACCCACAGGGTCCCAGCATGCAATCCACCAGCGGCAGGAGGGATAACTTGCTGTCCCTGGGTACCTTTTCCTAACTAGCAATGACCCTGGAGAACATGGTGCCCTGGGCTCTGCTGCCCTTGTCACTGCTTTCTGACCTTTCTGCTCTGACTTTTCAGCCCCAGGCTGTCTGAACTCTGCTCAGCATTTGTGCTTCTGGCACAAGAATGAATTGCTGGAGTCCCCAGAATTCCAGATGGCGCAGCCTCGGCCCCCACGATCTCTCTCACGGGCCGAGCCAGCTGCCTTTCCCGACCTGGGTGTACAGGGGCTCGTAGATGTCGACGCCGTTGTCCTGGCTGTGGGACAGGGTGTCCGAGCCCCGCTTCCAGATGAAGCGGGCAGGTGGGTTGGAGTTGACCGTGCAGCGGAGGAACACCGTCTTCTCCTGGTAGAAGTTGCCCCGCACGTCACTCACTGTCTGGTGCACTGTCAGCATCGGCTCATCCAGGTCTGCAAGGGCACAGCCCCGTGGGATCAAGATGGGGAGCCCCAAAGTTACAGGGGGCCTCTTGCTCCTGGCAGCCCTCAGGGAAAGCTGTAACCTGCCTAAGTCTCTCCCTCTCTCTCCCTCTCTCTCCCTCTCCCTCTCTCTCCCTCTCTCCCTCTCTCTCTCTCTCTCTCTCTCCCTCTCAGTCTTGCTATGTAGCATAGGCTGGGCTTGAATTCACTATGTAGCCCAGGCTGGTCTCGAACTCGAGGCAATCTTCCTGCCTCAGCCTCCCAAGTCCTGGGATTACAAGTGAGCACCACCACACCTGGTGAGATTCTCTTTTTGACAGACACTCGGGAGGGCTCACTGATGGCGTCAGAAGTCACAATAGTGGCGGCTTCTGGGGGAAGGGGACAGGGAACTTTCCAGGGCCCTGATATACTCCTATCTTGACATGGGTGGCGTTTACACACATCTGTATATATAAATCATTGAAGTTAATGCTAAAAAAAAGTTTTTTAACCTGTAATGTCATGCCACACTTCAGAGCTGCTAGGAAATAAGTAAATGCCTAAGGCTCTGCTCAGGGTTGTGACTGGGGACAGAGCGAGGGTCCTCTGGGTGGTGAGGTGGGAAGTCTCAGAGGAGTACAAGGACAAAGCAGAGACAGGAGGCGCTGTTGGCGGAGCACTGGACCACAGAGACGCCTCCTGCACGGAGCAGCCGCTTCCCCGAGCCCGACTCACACTGCACGTCCACGCGGATGGACCTGATGGCCGGCACGCCCACGCCGTTCTCCGCCTTGCAGTAGTAGCGGCCGCCCTGCGTGCGCGCGATGCGCTCGATGCGCAGCGTCTCATTGAACACCGACGTCTCCTGGAACTTGTCAGATGCGCTCCCCGCGGTCTTGGTCCACCGCACCTGGGCCGGGCCGGCGGAGGGGGTCAGATGCAGCCAGCCACGAGTGGGGACTGAGGGCTGAACACGACAGCGCATCGGGGCCTCCCCAGGCCTGACCGGAGCAAACGGACTGGCGGGGACTCAGAGCCCAGCAGGGCCAAGAACTGGGGGGTCCAGGTGAGAGGGAGGAGGCTCCCACTCAGGGGTCTGGGCTGGAGATCTGTCCACGGCTTTGTGGACATTTCCCGGCCTCTCCTGCCCTCCTTTTCCCATCTGTAAAACGGTCCATGTTTCCTTCTTTCCTAGGGCTACTGGGAAGATTGAGTGAGTTTATACTTAGCTCCTGGAAGACTAGGAATGTGGTGAAAGTCCTGCTATCCCCACTTAACTAGTTTATTAGCACCAGGCTGCTCCTCTCCCAGCCCCAGGTCTCTTCTGAGTGAGGCATCTGATCAGCATCCAAGATGGCCTCCTGGTCTCCACACTCTTCCCTAGGCCTCTCCCGCTTCCTACCAGGGCTGCGTGTGACCCCGGACTAGAACAGGAGTGACAGCCTGTCACTTCCAACCTGAGGTTGTAAAGGACTGATTTCCACCCTGGTCAGCTCTGGAGAAATCCTGCCGTAGGTAGCCCAGTGGAGAGGCGCTGGGGGAGGCAGGGAAGCCTCTGGCAACACCTGAGCTGTATCCTCACGGCCCTGGCTGTGTTTGGAACATGACAGGTGCTCAACAGACATTTGTTGTAATAAAACAAGCAAAAGAGAAAAGGGAAGGCATTTCAGGAGAGGTGGCAGCAGTGGCGGAAGTGGGAATGGAACAGAGTGTGCTGGAGGATGACAGGAGGCAGGTCCAGCCAGAGCCCAGGGTTCGAGGACCATGGCAGCGGGAGGTCAGATGGGAGGGGTGGGAGGGGACCGGATGGCAGAAAGTCTGCAGTTCCACCTCTGGGAGCTGGCAAATAACGGGGAGGCACTGAGGGTTTCTGAGCAGAGGACTGATGTCGTTTGGGGGTGCTCGTGCCAGCAGCAGAGTGCAGGGACGGATTGGGAATGAGAGGGAGAATGAGCCCACGGGTGTGAGCCTGACTGGCAGGAACAACAAAGCCACTGACGAAAACAGGAAAGTGTGTGTGTACACACAGCCATTGGTGACACACGTGTGGGACTCCCAAGGGGATACACGCAGATGGCCTTTTACTGAGAACCGGCCCCACTTTGGTAGTCACACCCAATGCAAGCAACAACCTCAATCCAGCGGCATTGTCTTCACCTCCGAGCAAACGAGGAGGAGCAAGTCTCGATCATAGTTTCGGGTTGCAAGTCTCTAGGGCTTTCCCCATGCAGCTGCTCCTATCAAGGCCAAACCTGCCAGGGCCATCCCTGTTCCCAAAATCATCCAGGAAAAAAAGAAGGATTTTGTATTTCACTGTTCTTCCTAGGATCCAACTGCCACCTTGTCTGCTGCTTTTAAAGGTCACAGCAGCTCACTAGCAAATTCCACCCGGCCCCGAAGCCCTTTTCTCCCAGCTCCAGGCATCCCTCTAGTGATGAGCAGCCAACATCTCCTGCCTGAACCTTGCACTCAATCTGGGACAAAATTCATCTGGCATTTCCAGATGTTTGTCTTTGGTTCTTTCTAATTACTTTGTGTCTTTGAACCTCCAGAGTGTCATGCCTGCCTGCCGGAAGCTTCCTGAAGTACTCTGCTGTCTGTGTAGTTGGTAATTCTCAGAGTTCCTGACCTAAGGATGGATACACCCGGAGCGAGTGTGCTCAACTCTAGAGAGAACACTGGTTCTGGATTCAGATTCTGCTTCCACCCTCACAAGAGCTATGTGACTCGGGTGCTTGCTTAACCTCCCTGAGCCTCAGTTTCCTCAGCTGTAAAATGGGGTCGTTAATGTCTGTGGGATTCAGGGAGAAAACACTGGAGAAAGGCATGACATGAGCTTGGTGCCTGGCATGCAGTCCCCCCTCCTGCAGCGGTTAAAGGCTCATCTAAACATGCGCCTGCCCAACGGATACGAGGAACAGAGCAGAAATGAACATCCAACTTTTCATTCACTCTTCCCCCTCAGTCACCAGTTTTTTTAGGTAAGTAAGCCCCCAGTCTCCAGCCCTTCCCCACAGAGCTAATTTCCCAGCTCTTTGCCGGTCCCGTCCACTTGGCAGCTCTAGTGCCCAGCTCCCCCGCCTCTCAAGCTCTGGTCCCAGGCGGGTAGGGTGGGCCCCAGCAAGGCCTGGTCCCTCCCGGTTGGGGCTGACCTGCGGGCGAGGGTGCCCAGTGACCAGGCACTGCAGCACAAGGGTGTCCCCCTCCCGGATGGTGTAGACGCGCTCGCTGATGTTGTCCTCCTTCACCACGCACGCCTGGCCCGCGTGCACAATCTGGGCCTGGGCTGGAGCTGTCAAGAGAGGGCAGGCAGGACGGGGGAGGGTGAGGTCGGACACACCAGGCTGGGGGTGCTAAGGCTGCCTCCCAGGTGTCCCGGGAGAGACCAGCCAGGCTGAGCTCCAGAGAGGATCCTCCCAGGACCCCAGCCCAGGGACTTGGGAAAGGGACAGCCCCGCACCCGCGCCTGGCAGGAGATCTGTGCCTTTTGATGAAGTGGACGAGGACTCTGTGATCAGACTGATTAGCACATTGGCCCCTGGCTGCCCGTGTGTCCCTCAGCTGCCCACAGGCTCACAGTGCTCTCCTTCTGCAGTGAGCCCTTCACAGCTGGAGCTGCCCTGGCAGGAAGTGCCTAGGCGGTCACACCCTTCCCAGCACATGCCTGTGCACACACATGCACACACAAGGCAGGGTGTCTGGGGCGCTGTCTGTGCTCCACAGAAAACCCCTCCCCGCTATGAGGATGGGCTGAGGCTCCACCCTCTGAACTGCCTCCTTGCTTGGCTGGGTCCCTTACTCCCTCAGTTTCTCCCGAGAGCACTTTCTCAGCGAAGGACTTGCCTCAGCCGAGACTCCACTTCCACCCCTACCACCTCAGGATCCACTTGCAGACACCAAAACCCGAGCTGCTGCCCTGGCCGGTCCGCAGGCTGCACTGCCCTCTCTGCGGAGGCCGGTCACTTTTCTCCTCATCCCCTGGCCTGTGCACCATTTCCTCTCCAGGGTGCAGAACCTCCGCCTTCGGGCCCAGAGCTCTGGGGAGACAGGGCCTCCTCCCTGGCCCCTGACCTCTCTGACAGCGCGCAGGGCCTAGGATGTGGCTAGAGGGGCCCACTGGGAAGATGAGCAAAGAGCCACGGTCACAGCCCACCCTAAAGAGGCTCCTAGAGGTAAGATCAAAGCACCACATAAGCAGTGTTGCTTCCTCCAGGAAACCCTCCGGGTCTGACAGGCAGGAACCTTCCTGTATTTAGCCAATGTGTCTCACACCCCAGTGCACCAGTAAAGCATCGGGCCCAAGTGCCTGCCAGATGCAGGATTCTTGTGGTCAGCCTGCCAGTCCATGCGCTTCACCTTGGTATGACCAGAACAAGGCCTCAAACACCGCAGGTGCTCAGTTAATGGTGAATGAGTCAATTACAAGGGTATCCCGTGGGGAAGTTCCTAAGCTCTGGAAGAGATACAGATGGCCCAGGGAGCCAGGCATGGTGGCACACCATGGTGCCAGTAATCTCAGCACTTGGGAGGCTGAGGCAGGAGGATTGCCATGAATTCAAGGCCAGCCACAAGACAGGCATGAGCCAACTGCAGAAGTGTGGCCCACAGAGGTGTGGGACTACATAACCTTTGTTCCTTTTCTCCAGCCCCATTGTGATTAAATGTGAGTTAATAGACAAAGATGCTTGTTAGTTTTGGGACACTAGATAAAAATCTGTAACAGACCTAAAGTCCCAAAGTAAACTACTCAACTCCTTGTTTGCCCGGAACATCAGTTCCGGGCACCACAATTTTTAAAACAAGCTACAAATGTCTGCTGACCATCAATACGTGACAGTCGACCACTAACCTTTGTCCCCTTTTCTTTAATTCTATATGTTAACTTCCCCCTCAACCCCCTATAAGAACAGACTCGGACTCTGAGCTAGCTGCCTCTCTAAGCTATTTTGCTTTGGGAGTGCCGTCTGGCCAGACTAATAAAGGTCTGTTTTATTTTCCAACTTGTCCGGTGTGTTCCTTCCCGGGTGTTCTTCGCTATAGTCAGCTCCTTGGAGCGTTTGGTAAGGCTCTTGGTCTTACATTCTGAAGGCACCACTGGGATTCCTGGGTGTGCTTCACTAATCAGCTCCTCGGAGCGTTTGGTAAGGCTCTTGGTCTTACATTCTGAAGGCACCACTGGGATTCCTGGGTGTGCTTCACTAATCAGCTCCTCGGAGCGTTTGGTAAGGCTCTTGGTCTTACAGAGGCAACTGTCCGTGGTCAGGAGAACTGCAGGGCAGCCTGGGAGTGGCACAGGGCATGTGTGGCCATGCAAGTCTCTGCGAACAGCAGCAGGTTCTGCAAACAGTTATGGCTGCCACACACCCAGACTCTGGGTGTCCAGGTGGTCACCCTGCTCACTTGGCTACCACAGAGAAAGGAGCCTGGGCTGTGTGTCAGGAGGTAATCTGTGTGATCTTGGGCAGCTCCAGTCACCTCGCTGAGTCTGTTTCCCGTTTCTAGGAGAGAAGTGGAGTAGGCAGTCTCCAGTCTTTGTGTTAATTTTGCGATCAGCACAGAGCCCTTGTGTACGATGCTCACCAGAACTTGGGGACTGGGCCCGGCACTGTCATCCTCTGCTGTGAAAATGCATGAACACCGTCATACAGGGACGCGATAGCCACCTGTGGTCAAGGTCCCCAGAAATCTCATCAATAAACAACCAAGCAAGAGATGACGTGCTTGCCGGCTGCTGATAAGGCCCAGAGCCCCTCCAGATGTCTGCAAGAGAGCCAGCCGGGGTGCCTCTCAACAAGAAGACATCCATTCAGCGGGTTGTTCAGGGAGATAAGCTGTAATCTTGGGCACGGTGGTGCGCCCGTAGTGAGGCGGTGCAGTGATGACAGACGCTTCGGTGACAATGGGAATACTGAGAAGGAGCTGGAGAATGGGACAGTCTCAGGGCATGGGCGGCACAGGCTGGGCCACGTGCTCCCAGCCAATAGACACGAGGCCACTGGTCACCTGGAGACGGGGCACGAGAGGACACCGTGGGTGACGTTGGTAAGATTGTCCAATGCCCCTTGATGACAGGAACTAGGGAGATCATTCAACTTGAAAATAGTAGAACCACTTTGGAGAGACTTTGGCCATTCTGTGCTGGACGTGCAGCCATACACTTGAGGGACATGAGCATGTATGAAATCACACAGCAGGTACCAGAGTAGCCCTGGTGGTTTTATCCCTAATAGCTAAAACCCAGACACAACTGGCAGGTCAGCGGGAGTCAGGAAACGCTGATATCCATACAATAGAACATTACATATAAATGAAAAACAAAGAACTACACATAGGCCCAACCTTGTTGACCATCACAGGCACGGTTTGAAAGAACACAGATACAAAAGCATACATAATGGATGATTTAATTTATTCAAAATTCAAAATTGGAAACCTGAAGCTTACTGTAACAGAGGCTTCATGATGACTGCCCTTAGGTGGGACGGGGTCTGATTTACTGGGAAGGGCATGTGAGAACTTCCTATGGCAAAAATATTGGACATTCTTTTTTTTTTTTTTTTGGTACTGGGGATCGAACTCGGGTCTTTATGCTTGCGCAGCAGGCAGCAAAACCACTGAGCTAAATCCCCGGCCCTGGACATTCTTAACCTGAGTGCTGCCTACACAGTGGATGGACACACAGAGAGAAATTCAGCGAGGCATTTGCTTAAGATTTCACCCTAAGTTATACCTCATTAAGAAAAAAAAAAAAAACCACCCACCAGCCTTTGATATCATTAACCATGAGATCCGGCAAGAAAATCCACAAATCATTCTAATTACCACTTCCCGATGCTGATTTGATTCTAGGTATAGATTTTCCTTCTGGAACCAGCACTCACTAGTACAAAATCCCTGGTCCTCTCTCTTCACCCGTCAGCCTTGGCATTTCAGTGTGTCCCTTGTCCCCCACTGAGGTCTGTTAGCATGACCCAGTCTCCCCTGGACTCTGCTTGCCCCTGGAATGGCCGGAACCGTGTTTCTGTGCCTGAACCCCAAAGGAGCCTTCCCCACCTCACTTCACCCACTGGCTCTGCACACCCCAGGAAGCTTCTGCCACGAGCAGCATCGGATTCAAAGGCAAGCAGGCTGGGCTGGGGCCTGATGCACCGTGACACTCAGTCTATTAAACAACAAATGCTTCCGGACCCTGGGTGCTGGAGATACTGTCACAAAAAACAAACAAGGGCCACGTCTCAGAGAGCATTGTGGGAGAAAGGGAGAGCAAACAAGAGAACAGCAATAGACAGGATGGTTCCAGAGAGTGCGACGGGCCCGGAGTGGTGGGGAGAGAAGTCTGCTGGAGAGAGGAGGGACACAGACAGCCTAGGACTAATAGCTGGCTCCGCTGCCCCTAGCGTGGGTGACACAGGGCAAGTTACTTAACTTCCCTGGGGCTCAGCCTCTTCATTTGTAAAATGAGAACAGTGATGCCAGGGCTGGTGTGGTGAGGGTTCAATGCAATAGACGTAAAACAGCAGGCCCAATAGTACGTGCTCCTTCGATAAGTGACAGCTCTGGAGATGATTACGTAGAAGCAAGATGTGGCAACAAGAGACCTCCCTCCCTCACATCCCAGGGGTGGAAATGCTCAGAGCAGACATGGAGCCAGGAGGGTGTTCCACCAGTATGTTCACAGTTCATGCTGAGGGCTACGGGGACCTGGAGAGGAGGGAGGAGGAACAGAGCCCTTTCCTCCAGGGCCCTGCTCTTATGCACTCCACTGCATGGCTTTCTGCATGTTTCTTCAGCCTCAGTTTTCTCATTTGTGTAATCGGGTTGCTGAGGAACATACAATCCAACTCTCATGAAGAGTTTAAGACAGTGCCCAGCTCAGATGCCACCAAGTGTCAGTTTCTTTCTTTTGGTAGCGCAGGGGTTGAACCTTCATACTGAGCCACATCCCCAGCTCTTTTTTTTTTTGGTACCAGGGATCGAACTCAGGTCCTTGCGCTTGCGAGGCAGGCAGTGAAACCACTGAGCTAAATCCCCGGCTCTATCTCATTTTCTTGAACAATATCAACAAACCCCCATAGAAAAGGAAATTTGCATCTCCCAACCTGTGTGTGATACAGTGTTCACTGAGAGTCTCTTGCAGATTTCCATGGCCAAATAAAGATGCCAAGTGCTTTCTGTGTGTCAGAGAGAGACTCTGCACATAGAGCACATTAAAAGTTCTGGGGCCGGAGATTTAGCTCAGTGGCACCCCAACCTGCCCTGCAAGGGCAAGGTCCTGAGTTCAATCCCCGGTAC